ATTCTTGTACTGTAGGGGGAGGAATCCGAGGCTGAGGGAGGTGGGGCCCTGTTGCCAAGTCCCTGCAGCTAGCGCATCGCGGAGCTGGGACACAAGCCCAGACCTGCGGACTCCAAACCACTCACTGGCTTGGAGACTTCTGCCTCGGGAGGTTCTGGGCCTGTGTGTTTTCCAAAGAATATTCACTTCACTCCTTCTGTAAATGGGGTGCTGCTTTAAAACTTTGAACAACAATTATATCTTTCAAAAATGCTCACATCACTTCTGTTTTCTCTTTGGCTCCTGCACGAATCCGTCACGTGTGGACAGCTCTTTCCAAGTAGCACTTGGCTACTGTTTTGCAGTCTTACTCCTCTGTCTGCAGCGGAGAGGTTCCATCCGTCTTCCTGCTTCATTAATCCCAAAGACAGCTCAGATTAACCTCTTTTTTAGCATCCAAACTTAGACCCATGTGCTTTGGTCTGTTGATGAGATGGAGGGGTAAATCCTTTCAGCCCTGCTTGATAATTAGACATTCCCTTCCAGTTCCAGGCAAACTCTCCCAGTAACTGGGGGTAGGACCAGAAGTTGGCAGGGTGCTTGTCTTTTCTGGAAACAAGAATGGTAAAGAAGAGGGAAATTGACACGGTTATGTAACAATTGTAACATTTGCAGCAAGGACTGCTGGAGCCAAGAGGGAGCTACCTACGTAAGCTGCTTATTAAGCAATACAGTCTCCAAGTTCGGGAGCATCTTGGAGGTTGGTTAATTGGTCATTTTCTGAATGGGGACATCATGGCTCCAAGAGTTCAGTGACCAAAGGAGGGGCTTACACCAATCAATAGCAGATATATGATGGAACCCCAGGGCCCTTCCCTGTCCATCACTGCTCTTCTCAAAGGAAGCAGGTTGACATCTTTTTTGATTTCCCAGAGGCGAAACTTACAACCTCAGAGTGGTCTTGTGTGTGCCAAGGCACACACGTGTTCAAATAACCAGAAATGGATAAACCAGAGCAATAGAGAACTTCTGTACTTTTCACCAAGTCCAGGTGCTGATGGGGAATGATTTCTCCATCCTGCATCATTTCTTATTCACACATTTTTAGCTTGTGAGATTCCTATTGACCTGAGGCCCTTCCCTGATTGGGTTTCTTCCTGGAGTCCCTCTTGGTTAGTTGAGAGTAGCAGTGAATCAGTGCCTCCTGATTCCAGGCCCGCTTGCTGGCCTCCCTTGTATGTGTCCGCCATGATGGTCCAGGGATGCCTGAGGGCACCCAGGGAGGCAATAGGAAGCTGCCTGGGCATCACACTCAGTCACCTCTTCTTGTGGTCGCCATGTTTGCCTGGTTGCAGGGAACAGGCCCCCAGGCTCAGAACCCTTCCCCCCAGTGCCCTGGATTTCCTTTTAAGAAACAAAGGCACTGGGAACCTCTTTTCAAATGCAGTGTTTCAAATGCATAAACAGGTGAATGCAGAGCTGCGCTAGCTTGAGGAGCATGGAGGGGGGCCCCTGAATCCCTGAATCTCCATGACCCTGTTCCCACCCTCATGTACAGCAGCTCCAAAAGCCTAACTGCAAACTCAGGCATTCAAGAAAGAGTTTGAAAATACTGCCTTTGTGTGCAGAATTGCATAGTGAGGTCTTTTCTTCAGCAACAAGGAGGGGTAGCAATGGTTTCTTTCTTTCTAATTCTGCTGTCTGTGTGTTTCACTCCTATTAAATCTACCCTGGATCTGAGGACTGATCTGTTCCAGGCACTGTGATAAGTGTTGTATGTGCATTATCTCATTTAGTCTTTAGGACCAGATTAAGGAGGGCAGGTCATGTGCCCAAGGTCACACAACTAGTGAGTGGTGTAGAGTGCATCAAAACCAGGTCTGTTTGCAAATAAATAAATAAAATCTTTAAAAAAAAAGGGGGGGGGTGCGCCTGGGTGGCTCAGTTGGTTAAGCGACTGCCTTCAGCTCAGGTCGTGATCCTGGACTCCCGGGATTGAGTCCCACATCGGGCTCCCTGCTCGGCCGGGGGTCTGCTTCTCCCTCTGATCCTCTTCCCTCTCGTGCTCTCTGTCTCTCATTCTCTCTCTCAAATAAATAAATAAAATCTTTAAAAAAAAAAAACAAAAAAAAACCCAGGTCTGTTTGACCTCTGCTCACCATCCAGTGACCACTAAAAAAACATCTGCATGGCCAGGCCAGCTCAGTTACTTGGTAAAATTTAACTTGGTACCTAGCACTACATTCCTTATGAGGCAATTTCCAGAATAAAGGTATGAACCAGAGCCAGCCAGTATTCATGGTTTCAGATACAGAAAGGGCCTCTTGAGCCATCTACTCTGTCTTATGTGGGTTTGGTATTTAGACTAATTATTATAAATAATAATAATTTAAGTAGCACTAATGAGCCCTGTAATTCAACACCAAAGTTTAGAGACCAGATCATCCGAAAATGTTGTGCTTTGCCTCCTGGAGTTGAATGTTCTTGTGATTTCTGCCATTCTTGAACATAGTGAATCCTTAGACTTAACAGATCATCATTTCCTATTGAGAGGTTAGGCAGGGGTGAAAGGGAAAGCAATGAAATTTTCACTTGAGCTAGAAATCCTTTAATCTTCTTGGGTCCAGTTTTCTCCAGTCCTGTTTTTTAGACCTAAAGTCTGACTTCTTCCTCACATTATGTCACATTGTTATTAATGCTTTAGATGGTGGAACAGAGACAACCCCATTAAGTGTTTCTGTGTCTGCTATTTTGATTGGTGACTGTGGCTCAGAGAACCAAATTAAGATGCACAGTGATTGAGCTGTGGGACCTTGGATGGGTGTAAACTAGAGATGGTTGAGGACTGATAGGTACAGGGTAATTGACTTACAGAGGTAGGAAATCTGAGCCATATCAGGAGGGGGGCCTGCAGTATTGTCCATTGATGTGTTGCATGCGGGCTTCATGTCTGACAACCATGAGGTCACAGGAGCCTTAGTAACATTCAAGCTTTTGTTCGGGTTTGCTACTGAAGTTGGGAGTCCTGCAACTAAGCATGATAAAATCCAGGGAAGAGCTACAAAAATTAATAAAAGTTTGGAATGCAGGCTCTATAACTTATAGGTACTCACAGGTACTAGATTTCTTTACCAAGATGAGCTACAGCTTAATCATATCATCCAAGAGTATGACTGATGACATTTATGTGTGTGTTTATTCAAGGTAATATTTATTAGCTACTGTGAAGGCATAAAGATGATACATTCCTGCAGTGATAGATATTCTCTATTTCCAGCTAAGATGGTCTGGGGGAGAAAAAGTAAAAAGCCCAAGTTGGAGTCAAAATGTATGGAGCCGTTGAGACTTATTATTAGGATTCTAGGAAGCTAGTTGCGTGGTAAGAGACTGCTCAAAGACTAAGAAGAATAGTGTATTTAGGGGGATGATTTGAGTATAGCAGAGCTTTTTGATGCAAAGGCATAGAAGACCTTTCTAGCCTATCTGAGGATTCTAGGATGCTTTCTTCACCATTGGAAGAGACAGAACATTTGAGTGTGGCAATTCTGACCGCATTGTTCTCAAGTCTGTCATCTGATCACTGACTTGTCCCAAAAGGTTTCATATGGAAATACAGTTCCTACCTGCCTCTCCCAAAAAAATCCCACTGGAATTTTTCCTGGAATTGCAACAATTCTCTTGTTTAATGCCTGGAGAATGGATACCTCTACAGCATCAAGCTTCCTATCCATGACCATGGTATACCTATTTTTTTTAGGGTGTTTTAATGTTTCTCAGCAGGGTATTATAGTTTTCACTGTAGAGATCTTAAACATCTTTCTCTAGATTTATCCCTAGGTATTTGGTGTTCTTTGATGCTATTGTAAGTGGCATCATCATCCGAACCCCTTGAATGCACACCCAGTAACACCCGTCCACTTCCGTGGGTATGAGAAGCAAAGTAATAATCAGCTTCTCCTTTCCCAGGGCATCATTGGCCTTGTCAGAACCCATCAGGGTAAACGTGTATAACAGCTTCACTGCTGGAAACCCACTTCAGGATCCAAACGCTGCAGCCCCGAAAGCGTTCTTTTGATCCAACTTAAATTCCTCCAGTTGGCATTCTAGCATATTTTCCTTTTGCGTTTGGTTCACAGTTTGCCTTCCACCACGATTTCATATCTAGCAGTCTGCTGCTTGAATCATCATGCAGATATTTCCCCCCTGAGTGGTAAAATATATAACTTTCATCAGGAGGGAATTTGCTCATGATACAGTATTAAGTTAAAAAAGATATATATATATAATGAAAATCAAATTTTATTTTAAAAATATATGTGCTTACATAAAAAGATCAAAAGAAAATACAAAGCAGTGGTTATCTCTGGGGGACTTATTTATCGACTATTTTTATACAGGTCTCCATTCTCAAAATTTTTATGACAAACATGCATCATCTTTGAACTAAGCCAAAAATGAGCATTCTTAAATAGAAAAAAAATTATTTGTATTTTTATATTTATATTAAAATTACTGGCCTGAATTTTAACTTTCCCCTTCATTGCATAAAGCCTATTAAGATGTGCTAGTGAAAGTCAAACAGGGGGCACCTGGGTGGCTCAGTTGGTTAAGCGACTGCCTTCGGCTCAGGTCATGATCCCGGAGTCCTGGGATTGAGTCCCACATCAGGCTCCCGGCTCAGCGGGGAGCCTGCTTCTCCCTCTGACCCTATCCCCTCTCATGTTGTTTCTCTCTCTCAAATAAATAAATAAATAAATAATCTTTAAAAAAAAGTCAAACAGGTATGCTACATATCTTCAGATAATCAGGAAAGAGAAACTTCTTTTTCAGGCATGTCAATTTTCCTGCCAGTCCTCTGAGTAGCTATAAATTCCACTAAGTGCCAAGAATGCGCTCCTCACACCTGGGACTCTGCAGCACCTTGCTTTGTGTCCCCTCCCCTGACTCCTGGGTCGGTGCCACCTCTGGATGTGTGTCCGTCCCCCGTCCGCTGCTCAAGTAACCCCACTGTTTATTGACAGGTTCTCAGGAATCCGATAGCTCTCAGTCGGCCAAGAAAGACATGCTGGCCGCCTTGAAATCCAGGCAGGAAGCACTGGAGGAAACGCTCCGCCAACGGCTGGAGGAACTGAAGAAACTCTGTCTTCGAGAAGCTGTAAGCAGTTCACATTTCGTGTGTGTGTGTGTGTGTGTGTGTTCCTCTGTCTTCACATAGTTATAAAGAGCAAAGGTGGGGATCGCACAGAGCACATCAGCGAGAGGCAGGATGGCTCCTGAAGCACGAATGTGGGACTCCCAACCCGTCCCATGGCCCTGTCATTAACATAGGGGTGGACCTTCATGAAACACGGGAACAGCAGGTGGAGCGGCTCTGCCCGAATCCTTGGTGCGGCCCCACTGGAGACCAAATGACAAGTGTAATGGTGGTCCCTTCCATGTGCGCGGTGCACCATAGTTTATGAAGCGTCTCCTCCTGTAATGTTACCTCCTCGGACATACTGGCTTGTCACCATCTTCCTAAAATTTGTGCCCGAGTTTATTGTCATGGTGGCTTTTGCTTCTCTTGAGGGCATCTTGAGGATATTTCACATGGATTGGTCTTTGGAAATCCTCTGGAGAAGCCTCAGTGGAGATCAACAAGGAAACCAAGATTTTGCTTGATATATAATCCCCTTTAAAACTCATGATCTGGTGCTTCGCTTTTTTTTTTTAAATGAAGTCTCAGCCTAGTGATATTTTTAAATTTTACGCAAAGCAAGGCTTCCTCCAGCCAGCCCATGTATACACTGGTCTCGTGTTGCCTTGGGATTTAGATGCTGTGGCCCGCCACTGTCTGTATGTGCTGGAACATCCACTTCTATCTTCTGTTCATTCCGTGACTGTTAGCATGTTTGAAAAGTTGATTTGTTAATGCAACACAGGTGACTGGGGGGGGTGTACGCACACGCATGAGCATGTGCTTGCACACGGATACGATGGGGTGGGGGCCCTTGGGAGAGCAGCTATGCTCTGCATAACGTTACAAAGAGCTCTGCAGGTCAACAGTTCAGAATGGGAAGGAAAAGAGGTTCCTGAGCGGAGTTGAAGAGTGTAATCCCCTCCCGCCAAATCCCAGGGCCTTGCCCCCGAAGAATGAAACAAGGGGCTATAGAATTAGATTGCATTACATTTCAACTTGGCTTAATTAGGCTCTGGGTTGATTTAAACCGGAGCCCGCACAAAGCAGACCCACTTGAGCACCAATCCATTCCACTGCAAAGCTTTGGAAAGCAGCTGGCCTGGCCAGGGGATGGGATGTGCTCTGAGGTACTCTCAATATTAGTCACCTTTTCATAGGGAATATGCTGAAAGCATTGAAAAAATATGGGCTTGGGTGTCTGCATTTAATAATTTGTAAAGCCTTGTTTTGTTTTTAATAAAGGAAACGTCCCTAAACCCAGCAGGGAATCCGCATCAGAAAATTGGAGAAACATGTCAAGGCAGGGTTAGCATGCATTATAAAGGCCTCCCTGTCTCTCTTGAAATAAAAGCAAAATAAGGAAAACAAAGCTCCCACTTCTTAGAGTGTCGACACCAGAAAACAGAACTTGAGTGGAAGGAGGCGCCTCTCTGGGGTAAGGGGCCCTGGGGGCAGACGGCTTCTGTGCTTGCTCAGCCCAGCTCCCGACGCCCCCCCCCCCCCCCCCCGGAGTGAAGGGGCGGGATAACTTTCTCAGTAAGTGTTGCGTTCTTTCTCTGGGTCACACCATGCATCCTCAGCTTGGTATTGAGAAGCGAGAAGCGCTGTTTGTCCGCTGGGGAGTGAGCTGAGCATGTGGCTGGATGTAAGCAGTATCAGAACAGAAGGGAGCAGGCCAAGCCCCTCCGCAAGGCAAGAGCGCGTGAGAGTGCTCCTTCCCCTGCGCCTCTTACATGTGAAATCAGATTAAATATGGAGAGTCAAGGGCTTGACTCCAGGACCTTCCAGCGGATGGTGGAAAATTAGGAGCCTTGTGTTTTTAAAGCAGTCGGTTTCAAAACCACAGACACTTTAGAGTTATAAATCAATGGTTGTGTTAGTGTTCCCCTCCTTTTTGTAAGTCTCAAAGTAGAAAGGAAAAGTCCTAACAATATAAAATCCTCAGTGTGTTGTGTTATTTATAGACCGGCTTCTAGGGGAGTAGATAAAAATGTTGCAGAATAAACACATAACTACTCTGGAGACATTTGAACCACATTTTTTTAAAGAACAGGGAAGAAAACTGCAGAGCATTTCATACTCAATAGTTGGCCATTATGTTCTGAAATGCTTACACTAGGGAGTGAAAAGCCCAAGAGTTCATTTCCTGGTGGCCTGAACACACAACAAGAGAGGCTCAGGAGAGTGAGCGGTGGGTGTGTTTGTGCATGCCAGTTGCTCTCTCTCTCTCTCTCTCTCTCACACACACACACGCACATGCACATATGCACACCCCAGTGCATGCACACACCAGCACCCACACATACAACCTAGTCTCACACACACACACCGCACACACATATACACACATTGCCCAGTGTATGTACACATATATCCCAGTACACACAACCTATTGCACTTATACACACCTCAGTGCACAGATACCCTACTAATACACCCACCCCAGTGCACACACATACACCCATCTCACACCCAGTGCATGCACGCACACACCAGTGCATACACATACACAGCCTGGTGCACACTTGTGCATGCACACACGCAGTGTATGGACCCATCCCAGTGCACACACATACACCCATCTCACACCCAGTGCATGCACGCACACACCGGTGCATACACATACACAGCCTGGTGCACACTTGTGAACGCACACACACACGCAGTGTATGGACCCACCCCAGTGCGCACACACACCCATCTCACACTCAGTGCATGCACACACACACAACAGTGCATACACATACACAGCCTGGTGCACACTTGTGCACGCACACACACGCAGTGTATGGACCCATCCCAGTGCACACACATACACCCATCTCACACCCAGTGCATGCACGCACACACCAGTGCATACACATACACAGCCTGGTGCACACTTGTGCACGCACACACACATGCAGTGTATGGACCCACCCCAGTGCACACACACACCCATCTCACACTCAGTGCATGCACACACACACAACAGTGCATACACATACACAGCCTGGTGCACACTTGTGCACGCACACACACAGGCAGTGTATGGACCCATCCCAGTGCACACACATACACCCATCTCACACCCAGTGCATGCACGCACACGCCGGTGCATACACATACACAGCCTGGTGCACTTGTGCACGCACACACACACGCAGTGTATGGACCCACCCCAGTGCGCACACATACACCCATCTCACACCCAGTGCATGCACGCACACGCCGGTGCATACACATACACAGCCTGGTGCACACTTGTGCACGCACACACACACGCAGTGTATGGACCCATCCCAGTGCGCACACATACACCCATCTCACACCCAGTGCATGCACACACACACCAGTGCATACACATACACAGCCTGGTGCACACTTGTGCACGCACACACACGCGCAGTGTATGGACCCACCCCAGTGCGCACACACACCCATCTCACACTCAGTGCATGCACACACACAACAGTGCATACACATACACAGCCTGGTGCACACTTGTGCACGCACACACACACGCAGTGTATGGACCCACCCCAGTGCACACACATACACCCATCTCACACCCAGTGCATGCACACACACACCGGTGCATACACATACACAGCCTGGTGCACACTTGTGCACACACACACACACACGCAGTGTATGGACCCATCCCAGTGCCCACACACAGCAGTGGGGAAAGGCCAGATCCCTCCTCCTATCAGAAGGTGAGTGAACACCTAGAGTCCGGTGTTTGGGGCTTCCTCACCCACTGCACACTTGCCCTGGGCTGCCCGGCACAGAAGGTATTTGTGCGGACGGACAGGGACCTCTTCCGTGTCGGAGCGGCCCCGTAGGCATTGCCTGGGGCCTGGAAACCCAGGGCTGGGCTTTGCTCGTGGCTTTCCCACATGCCTCCGGCCCCTGGAAGCGACTCCGTGAGCTTGATGACTTGGCTCCATTACGTGGATTAGCCACTGACTCAAATCTGATCTTTATTCCCAGACATGATCCCTAATATGGAGCCTCGTTCTAATCCGGAATCACTCCACAGACCGGCGACTGCAGGGGCCATAGTCACTGTGGTGATCCATCAACCAAGTTCACTGTCATCATATTCACATAATTAGATTTCTAAGGGCTGACAATGCACAACAGATCTTTTTTAATGGCCTTGTCAGTAAAACGGATTATCTTTTCAGTTTCTACTGAAACTCTTATTTGTATACATGTAATGTTTTTTAAGCTCAGCCTGCTCCTTGAGCACCTAGCCTGAGTGGAATAATTATTATTTATGTTCAGTTTCTAATTTATGTAATATGCACCTTTCCTGGCTTTGCCATTTAGATACCACTCCTCCTAAGAACACTCATTTGAAGGACATTTTGAACTTAGATATTTGTGAGGGAATATTTGATGAAGTAGAAACTGTAAAGACCAGAGCTGTCGTGTTGGCTGTGCCCCCTCCTGGCTGTGGGGCCCCACCGGGCACAGAGCAGACACGGGGGAACACTTGGGAAATTAACAAATGGGTGAGATTCGGGTTTTATGACGAAAGCCAATGGCGATTTCATTTACCCAAAAGAAATTTACTTTGGGAGAAACTTTCCGAAGCACATCTGCTCTGTAAAGAAAGGACTGCTCTCATGCTTTTTTAGAGAAATGAGGGGCGCCTGGGTGGCCCAGTCGGTTAAGCATCTGCCTTCGGCTCAGGTCGTGATCCCAGGGTCCTGGGATCGAGCCCCACATCGGGCTCCCTGCTCAGCCGGGAGCCCACTTCTCCCTCTCCTTCTCCCCTCCCCCCACTCATGCATGCACTCGCTCGCTCTCGCTCTCTCTCAAATCTTAGAAACGAAATTGCATTTCAGGAGCCCTTCGACGTATTGCCAGAGCTGACAATGTCAAGTCTATGCACTGAATCTACGCTTTGAAGCACGGCATGAGCACGCATGCGTCCTAGAAATGGAGTGCGTGCCCTCTTCTGATTTCTGTTCTCGTGCTGTTGCATGTATGCAGGAGCTGACAGGCAAGCTGCCCGTTGAATATCCCTTGGATCCAGGGGAGGAACCACCCATTGTTCGGAGAAGAATCGGGACAGCCTTCAAGCTGGATGAACAGAAAATCCTGCCCAAAGGAGAGGTGTGTCCTTCGTGATGTTGGTGGATTCTCTCACCTTAGCCATATTTGTCCCAAATGTTGGGGCATCCGGGTTTTCGGTAACAAGGTCTTCATTCTACCCTAATGCCAAAGGCCATTTCCCCTTTCCTCCCCAGTATCTTCCCTTTTCCATTTTAAGTTGGCTGCTCAGTCACTGTGGAGCCCCCCTGGGAGGATTTGTTAGCTTGCATGAGTAGGCGTTTTGATTTCTGTGCAAGTTGTTTGTCTAACATGATAGGCCTGTCACAAGTGACTAAGTGAAGCTTGGGAGACCATCCCAGAGACACTCAGGTGCACCTGTCTTATTAATGGCCTCCAGCTCTTTGTTCCTCAGAGCCCAGCCTCTTGTGGGAGGAAACAACCAAAGGAGAAAGGAAACTCGGGTCATGCCAATGGCCTCAGGATGCCATTGGCTGGGGAAAGACCGTAGGGCCTGCCCTCAGGGGCCTTCCCTTCACCTTGCTGCTAACTTTGCTGCCAGAGGATGAGCAAGATGCTGGGCCATTCTGATGTCATTTGTCTGCATTTGGAGGAGGCCCTGAAGCATTGCTCATTTGTCCTCTTTGACACTAAATGTGGCTGGGGGCTGGGGCAGGAGAGTCCAGATCTGGGGAGGTGTGGGGACTTGGGTCTCCATCTGGTTAACAAGCTCTCCAGCCTCAGATCAAGAGAGATACGAGGCCGGGCAAACCTTTAGGCCTCAAGGTCACGTCCAGGAAAAGTCTTCCGGGATTTATTCTGAATGAAGTTACTAATTAAAATGCTGTTGACCAGAGGGCTTACAAGGACAGGAATAAAGCCAAGGGGGAAGGGTGGGGAATGCTGTGGCCATGTTGAAATGTACAGTCTCACAAAAGGGATTGAGAGGAGCTGGTGTTCTTGTGTCACAGTCACCGTGGGTGAGTGGGAGCATGAATTCGGGGTGGGGGACGCATGTGTCCAGCAGCCTACAGCTGGGGACCAGTCTGAGATGGGCCCTCGCAAGGCCCCGGGGGACGGGCGGACTCACCAGAGGCTTCAGCCGCACCTCACGCTCTGCAGTTTTCCTCTTCTGGAAGAGGAGCTTCATAATCCTTACGTCTTGGAGCGGTTGCTAGGATTACATGCGCTGGCATGGGGGAAGCCCTTAGCTTGCTACCTGACACCTGCCTCGCGCTCAGTGAGCATGGGTTGCTGCGAGCAGAGAGGAGACAGCAGAAGCAAGGGTGAGGGTGGCTGGGATTTAGGAGACCATCAGGTCAAGTACTTTCCAAATCCGGCTGTCACCGGGATTGCCTGAGGAACTTCCACTCTCTTCTGCTGGACAGACAGCTGGACTAAACTTTGAAGAGCAGACCCCACCTTAGCGAGTGCCCACAGCCCTGAGTGCCTTCCCACCAGCAGCTCCTTCCCACTCTCCAGTAAGTGAGGCCTCGCCATCCCCGAGAAGTCTGTGTGCACCCCTGTCTCCCTTACCTGTAAGGGAGCTGCATGTACTGGTCCAGCGTTGGTGACAGGAAGCACCCCCGAGTCGGCACGAGCGTGTGCAGAGCCCCTGTAGGAAGGAAGGGCTCCCCACCCCCAGCTCCGTCACTGCCTGTTTCTCCTGGGAATGCACTTGGCTTCCCGGTCCACGCCGCAGGCAGCCATCTGGACAGCCGGGGCTGGCGGCCTTGTGCGTGTCCGTGCCGGGAGCTCGAACTGGTCCTGGGCTCCCACGCTGGGTCAGGTCCCGGGCCAGGGTCCCCCTCAGTGCCCGAGAACAGCTGCGTCTAGCACTGAAGCCTCACAGACCAGCCTTCGTCCCGGTGCCTTGTTGGTTTCAAGACCCCGGGCGGGAACCCATCCCCATGTTCCTCTCCCTCCGGAGAGCAAGCGCAACCAGCGTTCGAAGGATCTGGAAGGAGTTTATGATCTCCGAAGCAGTTCTGTGTAATCTCCACGCTCCCCTCTCCTTCCTGGTACCTGCTCCCCTCTGGCTTAAGGTGCTCAAACTGAAATGAATCTGGCTAAAGGTGCTGGGCTCGATGGAGGGCTCGATGGAGGCTCCCAGCCTGGTACGTGCTGCCCGGAGGCAAGCCTTTTTTATGCGGCCGGTAACCGGGAAGATCTGCCCGTTCCCCCAAACACGGTGATGGGTTCCCCCGTGGTTTGGTCAGTTCCTGTCAGATTGTTGCAGAGGTGGGCAGCCTGCAGGCCGTCCCCATTCATCCGCCCAGCCCCGACGGCCACAGCCACATTTCTCCTGGGACCAAAGCTGTTTGAGGGCACATCCACCCATCTGCTCCTTCTGGCCAAAGGCAGGGGTGGAGGCCGCAGGGAGGTGCCCGAGGGGAGGACGGAGAATGCCCTGAAGCAGTCCCAGGAGTGGGGCCGGGCTCCTCCGCCCTCCCATCCGTGCCTCGCCACCCAGCGCGGCTGCCCGTGGGCAGGTGTGAGGACAGCAGGAGCTTACAGAAAGGGCTTCTGAAAGAGGTCCTGGGGGGCAGGGTATGTCCCAGCACGAAGGGCTCAAAATACGGGAGGCAGAGGACCCATGTGAGCTCCCTGCTGCAAACTCATAGGAGCCCGCTCTGGAAGTAATTGTGCATCCTCAGCCCAAGATGGCAAGGAGTCGCCAACCAAATAGGCTCTGATTTCTGCGAGGGTCTGGTCTTTGTGAACCTTGAGATCAAGGAGATGAAGCCAAGTGACCCCCTGCCTCTGGCCTGCAGCTGGGAAGCTCTGCTTCTGGGTGATGCTGCCCGGTAGTGACCCACATTCGTCTCCTGACCCTAACAGGGACCAAGGGTCTCGAAAGTGGGAGTGCCCAGGGCCTGGTGGGCAGAGATTTCAGGAAAGGGGCCATTGCGGGGCCAGGCAGGATTGGGGCTAGGTACTGGGAGTGCTGGTTTCCTAGTAGGAGAGTCTCCCAAAGAGTAGGGCACACTGGCCTGGGGGCAGGGGCGGGGAGGACAGTGCCTCCCTTAGCCCCTGGCTCAGTGTCCCCCAAGTGTCAGCAAGCCCCATCTCTCCCTCCCACAGGAAGCTGAGCTGGAACGCCTGGAACGAGAGTTCGCCATTCAATCCCAGATTACAGAGGCTGCCCGCCGCCTCGCCAGTGACCCCAATGTCAGCAAAAAACTGAAGAAACAAAGGAAAACCTCTTATCTGAATGCACTGAAGAAGCTGCAGGAGATTGAAAATGCCATCAATGAGAACCGCATCAAGTCCGGGAAGAAACCCACGCAGAGGGCTTCCCTGATCATCGCCGGTGAGTGCTAAGCCCGCCCCCCCCACCCCGGGGCCTCACGACCCAGGCCCACCCCGGGGAGCAGGTCCAAAGCTGGCTCCCTGTGGGACCTGAGCAAGCCCTTTAACTACCCTGGGCCTTATCTTTTTTTTTTTTTTAATCAGTAAAGCGAAGCTAATAAGGCCTGATACCAAATGAGAGCAATAAAGGGTACTCAGGTCCACGGAGGAGGTAGATTATACAAGTCAAACTGTCCTGATCTCTACTTGGTGCCCCTTTGGGAGACCTGCAGCCCAAGCTACAGGCTCTTCCCCGCCCTCACCAGGAGCCAGGCTGAGCTCACCGTGCCAGTTCAGCCTTGCTGGAGTTGCCCAGGCTCTGACCTCAGGGACCTGATCACCCTACCTGTGGGTAGCTGGGGTACACGGCAGGCCAGCACCCCCGCAGAGCCTCTGTCTTCAGACAGACCAGCTCCACGGCTTCCTGGCCCAGAGCTGAAGCTGGGAAGGACGGGGCTGCCCCACTCTGCTGTCCAGACCCCTGAGCTCAGGTCAGCAGGGGTCAGGAATCTGGGTGATTCTATTTGGTAAACACTAGAAGGAAATACTCCCGAATCCACCAACACCATCAAGTCCTCCAATGGTTACAATCCTTTTTTTCTATGTTTAGCAGACTCTTTAGAATATATGTCAAGTATTCTTTCATGGTTTACGCGTTTAAAACACTTTGGCTCTAGGAAGACCAAAAGTGGGATAGAGGTTCCCAGGGGCTCGGGGAGGCGGGATGGGAGGTTAGTACTTGATGGGTACTGGTTTTTGTCTGGGAAAATGAAAACATTCTGGAGACGGATGATGGTTGCACAGCAATGCAAATAGACTTAATACCACTGAACGATACAGCTCACAGTGGTTAAAACGGTAGATTTTATGTTGTGTATATTTTACCACAATTATATATATTATATATATATAAGTGATATATAACATATAAAATATAATTGTGCAACCTTAGAATGTGGGCTTACTAGGGAAGCCACCCTATACCGGAAACTCCCAGGACGCCAAAGTCAAGGTTCTCTGCCCCGTGGTTGCTCACAGTCCACCAAGCAATACAATTAAAGTGACTCCCAAGTTGAGGAAAACAAGAGAGAGGCCATAAACAAATCCTGTCCCTGTAGGAAATTTGGAATAACCATCTTTCCCCATCCTGCCCCATCGTCCTTGGCCAAGACTTTGTCCTTTTGTCGCCCACTTCCGAACAGAGCTGCAGCGAACCCTTGTCTGTGTGATGCCTCTTTGGGGACATCTTTGTGGCCCTCGAAGGCCCTCGGGGAGTCGCGGCTCTGCGGGAGCATCCAGCATGGTCACCAGAGCCGAGCTTGGGAGGGGCACCTGTCCCTGGCCTGCCCGGCGAGCGCTATTCTGTGAGCCCCACTGCTACGGTCTGTGTTCAAATCTGTGTTTGTCCCCCAACACAGGGTCCCATCCAGGTTTGCAGCCATTTTTTTTTTTTAACTGTTCAAGAATATACCTTCTTTATTTTGCTGCATCCTTGACATCATGTTTCTTCTGTGCCCAAATTAGAGGAATAATTCCAGTTCTCTGTAGTTCCTTAGCCTGGTGTTTTATTTCAAGAGCTAAAACACCAAACGTGGAACTTCAGACCTGGGACCTTTGGCTCCCTTTGTCGGGAGAGCAGACCAACTGCCTAGAAACCACTCCTCCCTAGGTGAGCCTCAGTTTCCCCAGATGTAAAAGAGGGAGGATCATTTGGTCATGATTAACTAGTATCTATAAAAATAAACCTTGGAGGGAGAGAAGCTGTACTTAGCAGCTTGTTTTCACTAGTAATGACTTGAGAAGTTTATGGAGAAGACATTTATGGCCATAAGAGCAAAGCCAAGTTCCTCACCCTGGTTTTGCGTGTGTAGAATAAAGAGCAGTTAGCTCCCTTCGGTTCAGTTGGAACATGCCCTGAGATTGGGCCGGGACAGTGGTGTGGCTTCACCAGGCCAGGCGGCCTTTATCCTGGATATTAAGCTACTCGGCACTGCCGGGTCCCGGGAAACAAGAGCACAGACAGACAGACAGAGACCCTGGGGCACAGCGCAAGCGTCAGGTGCGGGGGATGTACCAGTGACACCTCCCGCCGCCCTAGGGACTGTCCAAAGAAATGCCAGCCAGCATTTTGATTGTGTTTCATGCAACCTTTCTGATCAGAAGGAGGAGGACATGATGGTCTTAAATGCAGGATTTTTACAGATTGGGTTTTGTCTGGGGGATGTGTGAAACTCGCGGACTTTTGCTTTTTGTCTTCTCAGATGGAAATATTGCCAGTGAAGACAGTTCCCTCTCAGATGCCCTTGTGCTAGAGGATGGTAGGTTGTTCGTTTCCGGCTTCAGAACTCGGGCCCAGATCAGACGGGCATTAAGCGGTGCGTCGTCGGGCACAGCTTGGTGGAAAGGCAGGAGCCGGGCCCAGGTGGCAGCTGGGTGCTCCACGAGGCCCTTGTCCCCAGCACTCACTTGAGTGGTTGGGAGTGGGTGGGTTCAAGGTCAACTCATATCTGCTGGAACTTGAGTATCTCCTGTGGCCCAGAGGTAGCGGTTAAGGTGATAGACTGTGTTGTAGTTGCTAAAACCACATTTGTATCTAAACACTGGGTGCAGTTGCCTTTTGAGTATTCATCATTTCTGGAGGAAGGACGTGGACTTTGGTTGGATCACAAATCAAAGATGGAAGCCTATTAGGAAAGCCTGGGGGTGGCAGGAAGAAAACCAGCCCTCCACATCATCCTGAGAAATCGTGAAGACGAAAGGGAAGATGTCCCTTTAGATTGTTGGTCAGGCCTTGAAACTGTCTTGCTAACCTCTGAAAACTCAGCGGTTATCAGGATATTTTCTTGGGGAGTTCTTAGAACCAGTCCCTCATACCTACCCCCCAACACACACACACACACTCACTCACTCACTCACTCACTCACTCCAGGCACAGGACCATCTCTGAGAATGTTCTGTGGGTTTAAGCCAAAACTTGGAAGGCCAGGACATTAATAATACGGAAATATATTAAGCGACAGTTAATTTTTTTTTGCACTTTAGGGAAACCTCATATGGGCAGTGCTAAGAGGCTATTCAGACAGAAAATATAAAACAGTCTACCCAGCACAGAGTCATGATGATCATTGCGAGCCTAATAATAGTGCTATTGATGTGGGGAGAGGCTAGCAGGTTATTTACCCGGAGGTCTTGGCCCTGCTCTTAGCAGTCAGGTTGTAATATTTTTATTATCTGCTTCGTTACACGGGTGGGGATGAGGCCAGGCTGCAGGTGAGCAGGGAGACGTTGTGAGCACAGGAGATCCAGCCCTGGTTCTGGCCTCTGTGGACTGCAGTCTCTCCAAAAGCAGGAACACGGGTGAGAGAAAAGTTGGGGGAGGAAGGAGCCTGTTGTCGTTAGCTAATGTGGATGCCTCATTGGCGATTAGTCTCCGGAGCCCCAGGCGACCTGAGGGGCATTACTGCCTCACCTGGACCCCCACTCCCACTGCAGGCTGGCCCCTTCTAGGGGCTCTTGCCTTCACTGATTTGAGGGGTGGACACACTGGATATCTCCCTCTCCCTTAACCCCTGCCTCGGCCCTCTCCCGGCCTTGCCCGTTTTGAACCCGGACAGCTGACTGGCTCTCAAACAGGATTTTCATCCTGACGCATCCATGCTTACAAAGTTGCTAAGTCTTCTAATGGCTTTCAGACCAAATCCCCATTCCTCAGCTGGAATCGAAGGCCCCCTGTGAGCTGGGGCACCCTGCTCATCTCTGGGGGCACAGCAGGTCAGCTGCACTAGCCCCTGACAGGAGCTTCCCCCTCTGTCCCTCCTCCTCCTCACCAGCCACCACCCCAGCTGGACGTGGCCCTGGGCTCTTCCCTTCCTCCTCTCTGCCCGTCCACTGCTGAATCCCCCTCAGCACATAGGGTGGGATAGATCGTGACTCCCCTGAAGGCAAGGAGTAATCTTCCGTTCAGTTGATATCTGTGGCCTATCTCCTTCCTGAGGAACCAAAGGCAGGTCCAAGAGGAAAACCACTAGGAACACATTAAAAGACAATAGAGATCTGAGGAAAGCAGAGAGGATGGACACCCAGAGCCACCAACAGATAATGACACTCAACATGCATACTTTCATTTCTTCTAACAAGTATTTATTGAGCACCTGCTGTGTGCCATCATTCCAGGCACTGAGGTGGTAGAAGTGAACAAAACAGAACCCTCACAGAGCTAAAACTGCTCCAGAGCGAATTAGACGCTTAGGGTCCACGGAAAGACAACTTGGCAGTATAATCAGGGCTCCATTCTGCTGTTTGCTATGAAGCCATCATGCGCTGTGGGTCTTTAATGGAATTCGGGCTCCCCTCGGTCTGTAGCTAATCCAGAGTGAAACTCCTCTCCCCACTGAGTGCCGCTTGCAGTGTCGGTTTGGTTTGTTCAGGTTTGACCTGTCTTGGCAAGTGGGGAAGCCGCGGGGTGCTCTCACTGAGCCTGGCAGGGGTGGGTGTGGGCGGGGCGGGGCGGGGCTGTCTGGGCCGGTGGGAGGGGCCCTTGCTCAGTTCGTCTCTCTCCATCTCTGCGCAGAAGACTCTCAGGTCACCAGCACACTGTCCCCCTTACAGTCTCCTCACAAGGGACTCCCTCCTCGGCCACCATCACACAACAGGCCCCCCCCTCCCCAGTCCCTGGAGGGACTCCGGCAGATGCACTATCACCGCAACGACTATGACAAGTCCCCCATAAAGCCCAAAATGTGGAGCGAGTCCTCTTTGGATGAGCCTTACGAGAAGGTCAAGAAACGCTCCTCCCACGGCCATTCCAGGTGAGCCGGGTCAGGGAGGCCACAAAAAACAAAAAACAAAGGCTGTCCCAAATAGCATCCACAAGTCGCAGAATCGCATCGGGCTGATGCCCGCCCTCCCTCCCCCGGCGGCCGGTCCGCCGTGCTGCGCTCACAGCGCCCTCTGCTGCTGACCCTGTCGAGGTGCAGCTCGGTCGTGCGCAAGGAAAGGGGGTTGGGGCTCACAGTGGGCGTGTCGGCACAGGGATAGGATGTTGTGCAATGACACGCGAGTCAACGCGCAAGTCGGGGGCAGCACTACTCTGCATGGCAAGTGAGAGGCCCCTCGTAGGAATCCCAGAGTGGCTCAGAACCCTGCAGCCTCGTCCGCCAAGATTCTGGAGCCAGACAGCTGTCGTGCTAGCTGTGCATTATCAGCTCATGACTCGGCTGAGATTGCAGAGAAGACATGTTTGGAAGGCATTTTGGGTCCGTTTCTCTGTTTTTCTCGTTGCCTTTAATTACGCCCTTTAAAGCTCCCAGTGGCTGTCCAGACAGGTAAATATTTGTCGGCTGGAAACCAGAAACTGTGGTTGAGGGCAGGGACTATGCAGAACAAGGCTGATGAGGGTGTTTGTCTCACACTGCCGTGGGGATCGGGCACGGGGACCCCCACCCACTTCTGGGGGGGGACAGCTGAGTACCACAGTAGGAATCCGAGGGAGAGGTGGGGCGGTCCTGGGCAAGCTTTCCCAACACTAGGGCTGATGTCCGCGGCTGGGTCGCCCCCTGGGAAGAGGGACAGTTGTGTCTGGTGGTGACCAGCCTGGTATCTGGTTTGCAGCACCCACAAGCGCTTTCCCAGTACGGGGAGCTGTGCCGAAGCTGGAGGGGGCAGCAGCTCCCTGCAGAACAGCCCCATCCGCAGCCTGCCCCACTGGAACTCACAGTCCAGCATGCCGTCCACCCCAGACCTCCGGGTCCGGAGTCCCCACTACGTTCATTCCACGAGGTGAGTGTACCAGGCCTTTGGGCCACTTCCCTCCCTAGAGCGGACCTCCCTTTGTGAGCCTTGGCATCGCTGGCCCCAAACTGACCCAGAGAATTGGTGAACTATGGTCAGGCCTGAACCAGTGAGGCAGGTTCCTATTAGAGCGAAGCAGGATGAAAACCCCAGCAGGCAGCGGGCAGCCCACGTTAGCCACGAGACCTGTTCTTATCCCAGTGGCTCCATCCAGTGGGCGCCAGGAGTCGCCTGGAGAATTCCCCGGCTTCTGGAGGCAGTGGGCATGGAGGGAGCTTTCCTTTTTTTTTAAGATTTGTTTAAAGTTTGTTTATTTAAGCAACCTCTACACCAGACGTGGGACTCGAACTCACAACCGTGAAAGGAAGAGCCGCGTGCCCTGCTGACTGAGCCAGCCGGGCACCCCGTGGAGGGAGCTTTGCTAATCCACATGGAGGCAGGACGGGCTAGCCAGATTAGCAGGGAAGCATGCTGCACACACAACAGCCTTGCACGGATGCGGGTGATCTCTATTCTGTAGCCTTCACATAGCTTCTGACTGATGCTTCTGTTTATCCTGGACTTTTTAATGCCTCAAGGTATAAATTCATTGAAAAGCAAAAAGAACAGGCAAAAGTGAAGCTGTGAATCACACCTTCTTTTTCTGAAAAGAGGCAAAACCAAAGCCATCATTCCATTTTATCAAAAAGTGATTGCCCAGGACTGTGGCTCAAAGGATAGATTTATATAGGGTAAGATTGAGCCCTCCAGGCAAGATTGTCTCCTTCATTCTTTCATACAACAAATATTTATCAAGTGCCTTTACGTACCAGGGACCCCCGTACGGGATAGAGCAGTGAACAAAACAGACACACTCCAGCTCTCAGTGGAGTGACATTTTAGCAGTGGGGAGTCACAAGAAAGAAATATGTCAAGTGGTGATAAGCACAAAGAAGAAAAAGGAATTGGACAGGAGCCTACACAGTGGAAAGAAAGACTCTGTGTGAAGTAAAAGCATCAGGGACAGGGAAGTTCTCTTTAATAAGGTGACATTTGAGCAGAGACCTGAGTGGATGGGGTAGCAAGTTCTGAGGCTGTCTCGGGGAACGGCAGGATCCAAGCCCCAGAGGCAGGCCCACACTTGGCACGTTCCCAGGAGGCCAGTATGGCCAGAGCCAGTGATGGAGTGGGTGGGACCAGAGAGGAAACTGAGGACCGAGTACTGGAGGGCCCCTCGCTGGGGACTTCACATTCTACTGTGAGTGGCCGTCAGAACGGGAACTCACCTCTTCCTGTACTTGGCCAGTGGGGCCACCCTGGTTGTCACATCTATCCTAGCATTGTCCACGCCAGCGACAGAGATGGATGTTTATAGTGTGGACTCAAAAAAAAAAAAAGAGGGGATTGTAGACAAGGTAGTAACATGGTAAGTATTTGCACGGGTAATTTTTAAGTGCTCCGTGGTCCAGCAACCTTTCATTTTAGAGTTTCAGGGGAATGGAAATCCATTGTTGTGGGTTTCATAATAGTATTTGGTTGAACCCTGTGAAGTGCCCTCTGTTGGACTGTTTTTTGAGCTACAAAAAGTGGGCATTTCTTTTTTTTTTAAAGATTTTATTTATTTATTTGACAGAGAGACGCAGTGAGAGAGGGAACACAAGCAGGGGGAGTGGGAGAGAGAGAAGCAGGCTTCCCGCCGAGCAGGGAGCCCGATGCGGGGCTCGATCCCAGGACGCTGGGATCATGACCTGAGCCGAAGGCAGACACTTAACGACTGAGCCACCCAGGTGCCCCAAAAGTGGGCATTTTATCTGATTTAACATAATGCTAGAATAGGGATTCTCTTGGTTCTTTTCGTATCTATAGAAGCCCTTTCCCCCATTTAAAAAACAAAACAAAACAGGCCAGGCTACTGGCGTATTTTTTCAGGGGATACCCTTCCGTGGGTGCCCGCTCCTGTCCCACGCCCACTCGGAATCAGGCATCGCAGGCGAGGCCCCGCTGGCCTCCAGGCATCTGCGGTCCCCTCCGGTCCCTGTGTTCACCTGGCGTCAGCAGGGAGCACCCTGACTCCCGGGGCAGTCCTGCTTCTACCCGGGCTCCTAGACGCGTGTTCGCTGGCGGCTCCGACCAGATGGCAATCCCGGCTCCGCCCCGCCCCCCGTCCGTCGCCCTCCCCCCGGGCCCCCGACCCACCCGCCGTCTCCCCCTCTTAGGTCGGTGGACCTCAGCCCCACACGGCTGCACAGCCTCGCCCTGCACTTTAGGCACCGGAGCTCCAGCTTGGAGTCCCAGGGCAAGCTCCTGGGCTCGGAGAACGACACCGGGAGCCCCGACTTCTACACCCCACGGACTCGTAGCAGCAACGGCTCGGACCCCATGGACGACTGCTCCTCCTGCACCAGCCACTCGAGCTCGGAGCACTACTACCCGGCGCAGATGAACGCCAACTACTCCACGCTGGCCGAGGACTCGCCGTCGAAGGCGCGCGCGCGGCAGCGGCAGCGGCAGCGGGCGGCGGGCGCGCTGGGCGCGGCGAACTCGGGCAGCATGCCCAACCTGGCGGCGCGCGGCGGCGGCGCGCACGGCGGCGGCGGCGGCGCGCACGGCGTCTACCTGCACAGCCAGAGCCAGCCGAGCTCGCAGTACCGCATCAAGGAGTACCCGCTGTACGTCGAGGGCAGCGCCACGCCCGTGGTGGTGCGCAGCCTGGAGAGCGACCAGGAGGGCCACTACAGCGTCAAGGCGCAGTTCAAGACCTCCAACTCGTACACGGCGGGCGGCCTGTTCAGGGAGAGCTGGCGCGGCGGCGACGAGGGCGACGCGGGCCGCCTGACGCCGTCGCGCTCGCAGATCCTGCGGACTCCGTCGCTGGGCCGCGAGGGCGCCCACGACAAGGGCGCGGGCCGCGCCGCCGTCTCGGACGAGCTGCGCCAGTGGTACCAGCGCTCCACGGCCTCGCACAAGGAGCACAGCCGCCTGTCGCACACCAGCTCCACCTCGTCGGACAGCGGCTCCCAGTACAGCACCTCCTCCCAGAGCACCTTCGTGGCGCACAGCAGGGTCACCAGGATGCCCCAGATGTGCAAGGCCACGTCAGGTGAGCGGCGGGGAGTGACGGGGGGGGGCGCGTCGCCGGTGTGGGAACTGGCGGCTCGTTTCCGGGGCTTCCAGGTTTGCTCAGAGTATCTGCAGTTCTAGAAACCTTGGCGTCAGACAGCTGAGACTGGAGGCTTCGGGCAGGCCCCCTCCGTCAGGCCCTTGGCTCCAGCCTGGGTTTCGCCCGGGGCGAAGACCTCGGACGGGGTCGAGCAGCGCTGGGCTAACTGGCCCCCACTTCAGCCTCCGAGGAGGTCGGGGCGCAAACCCTCCGTCCAGCCACTTCTTGTAGGGACAGTCAGAGACGCTCCGTGCAGACGGCTCTCAGCCTTTGTCCAGAGACGCTAGTTACAGACCCGAGTGGCCCCGTGCGGAGGGACGCTGGCTCTGGGCTTGGGCGCTAGGGCGCCGGTGTTTGGCGGTGTCCCTTGGGTGGGGGCTCAGGGCAGCGGGCGGGTGGAGTACCGGAGGTCAGCTCTTAGGGCGAAGTCCTACTGCTCCGGAGTCCCCATCTCCGTGATGTTAGGAAGGTGACCAGAGGAATGTTGGTAAAGGACTTTCAATACTTGATAATTTAATTATGGAAGGGTTACTTATTATTCTTGTACTAAGAGCACGGAGCAGGGCCAGAATGGACACACCACCGGTGGCTTCAGAAGCTACTCTCCCTTCCCCGTCCCTCCCTGGGAAAGAACAGTGGTGACAGTGACCATCAGTGCTCAGCAGTGCTGGGCAGGGCTCTCAGCACGCACAGAGGGGGGCGGCTCGGCCAGGAGGCTCTACTCAGACTGACCATAGGGAAAGAGAGGGGAGGATGTTGAGACATAATAAATTAGTAGCTTATTAATACATTAGCTTATTAATACATTGTGTTCCCTCTCTCGCTGTGTCTTTCTCTGTCTAAATAAATAAAATCTTAAAAAAAAAATTAGTAAAGAAGACGAGCCTCTGTGACCGTGTTAGCAGCCAGCTGACAGGAACACGAGTGTTTCTGTTCTGTCAAAACTGTAGCGCTTGCCTAGTAGATTGGCTTCCCTGACCAATTCGGTAACTCTTGGCAAGCGTATTTTCGACGACAAATTCTAAGCGGCTGTATCTGAGGTTTACTGATGAGAAAGATTCCGTTCCCAGGAAGGCAGAGGATGCGTTCAAGGAGGATTTACTTTAGTGAATTTTCCCAGCTAGAAAAATCCTGCCCACATCGATAAACTCCTCGTAGCCAGATTTGAATGAGCTTTCCTATAAAAGCTCTGCGCCTTGGAAGTGTCCTCAAGTGGTCAGTCACAGCCTGAAACAAGGAGCAAGTGCTGAGCGCCTTTCTGGAAGTTCTCTGTTCATTGCACCGTTTTAATACTGGGGCCACATCTGAAGATGCCCGGAGGCCTCTCTCCCTGGTGTCTAGAGACAGGGGCTCTCCCTGACTAGCCCGCCCAGGTCTCCGAGCTCTGTGGGGCTTCGGATTCTGCCACAGTGGGGGCTGTCGCCATCCCTGTGGCCACTTGCCAGTACATAGCGGGGATCCGGGATCCCCAGGTCAGCTTGACTCAGAATGGAGCACATGCTTTGGGGGAAAAAATGGAATTGGCCAAACGTGGAGCGAGGGGCAGGTATCTCCCCACTGTGAGCCCTCTGCGGGGTCCTATCTGGCATCTCTGGAAGGAAGCTCCTTCACCTGACCTGTGTCTGACCCCTGTCTCTTCTGTGTCCCTTCTCTGCAGCTGCCTTACCTCAAAGCCAGAGAAGCTCAACACCGTCAAGTGAAATTGGAGCGACGCCCCCAAGCAGTCCCCACCACATCCTAACCTGGCAGACTGGGTGAGTCCCCCTTTCAGACCTCTTCCAGGCTCTAGAGTGATCCTCAGCCTGCCTTGTCAGTTAGGAAGGACGTAGTAACAGGTGTAAGATTCTAGTGACAGAAGGGTTTATCAGCAAACACAGGATGCGGGTGTGTTCCTGGGAAACCTCTTCCTTCCCGAAGAAGCCTCGCGAACACCATTCCCTCTGACCCGGCTCCTTTCCATGGCTGTCCCTTTAGACGGGCCAGGGGTCTCGGCTCTCTCTCTCAACGCTGGTCCCAGGAACATGGGGAAGGTAGGGGCCCGAAGGCAGACTGCACTTCTTTACTCACAGTTCCAGGCGGCATTTGATTTGGGTTCAGCTTCTCTCAGGCCGACTTGCTGGGCCAGGAGAGAGGAGAGAGGATCTGAGCACCTCGCGCTGGGCGCCGGCCTCACATGCTCCTCAGGGTGTCCCCTCCTGGAACCAGGATGCTTGTGAGGGAAAAAGGCAGGAGGCTCCGGGCCCGTCTCGGTCCTGGCCAGCTGCTTGTTGGTAACCAACATGGGGGACCGGGGACGGGGACCCTGAGAACCGTAAGACGTGGCCCACAGGAAAAGTCATGAAACCAGCACTCAGGCCCTGTCCCAGCTTTCAGTGTTGGCGTCGAGCACTCTGATGGCGGGGACAGTTGGGTGTCGTGACTCCCGAAGCCCAGCAGATAACACGTAAGCTGCTGTCCTCACAATTCCTGCCTCTTCTGTTGCTCCTCAGACGTCGCCTCCAACCGGATGTCCCATTCTGTCAGTGACGGGGGGAGTAAAGGAGCCAGGGACCCCTTGTGTGACAGCTGTGTGTGAGTGGAGTCATCGGGAAACAGCGGGACCCGGACTGGCTCCGCTGCATTTCCAGCTCCCGCGCTTGGCAGCCGTGTTTTTGTTTTGGTTCATTTATCTGTAGTGATTTTAAGGCAGGCTTCATGGGGCCTCAGGATTTGACGGAAGCGAAGGGCAGCTGCTGTTCACTGAGTGCTTGCTGTGTGCTCAGAGGCTGGGAGCGTTCCTGACACGGAGGGGTCCATAGATCCCTCACTGCGGCCTCGCAGGGGCAACACACAGATCTTTTGGTTTGACAGATGAGGCCCCGGGGAAATCCGTGCCCTGCCCAGGGTCACACGGCGGAATGAAGCTGCGTTCTCTGGCCTCGGGGATCATGTCTTTCCCCACCGGGCCGGTGGTTCTCACAGTGCTGTCCCCAGACCAGCAGCCTGAGCACCTGTGGCCTGGGATCTTGCGAGAAACGCCGAGTCTGGGGCCATCCATGACCTGCTGACCTCCAAATTAGAAGCTCGGGGGTGGGGCCAGGCAGTTGGGTTTGAACACGATTCTGACACCTGCTCGAGTTGGAGCGGCCCTGAGCTGTGCCCCCTGCTGCCGTGTCCGTTTGCATCAGGAGAACCCACAGCCTCAAGTGCGGGGATCTTGCATCCGCTCCCACTTCCCGGTCGGCCTTTGGGGCAGCAGCTGCCCCCTCTCTGTCCTTACCCCAGGTCATTAGGACCCTCCATCACATACCAGCTTCACGCCCGCGCCACCTGGTGTGGTCAGGAGCTGCTGCAAGGCCTCGGGCCCCAGTCGTGCATGCACGAGATGAACTCAAACAATAGTGTCAGGTCTGCTGTCTAGACCCTTCCACCCAAATAAGAACTTCAGGTTGCGGCCTCTCTTTCTGGGTCCTCCACATTTTCTGGGTCATGCCCAGTCTCCCCTGATCTGAATGTATGACCGACGGCAGGCCTGAAATGGGTGAGCACAACCTCAAATGCCTACGTGCTTGAGCTGGCCTTGAAACCTGGGTCTCACCACAGAGAGCTGGTGAGGATTCAGGACAAATTGGGAACAACTTTGGTCCGTGACGTGAACCTTTATCAGGTTGAGGTGAATGATCATTAACAACCAGTAACTATTCTCGGCAATGTGACCAGAAGAGAAATGGGTAAAAAGTACCAAAGCTGCCTTCCTCACAGAACTAAGGAGGTCTTTGACTCACACTCCGGGGGCTGAAAGTTCTGCATGCTCGGATTATCTGTCACTAACGCTGGGGTGTGGAGTCAGCTGATCTCTCCAATGTATTAATAAGCTACTAATCATGTCTGTGTCAGTTCTTCTCTTTAACATGAACTCTCTTCTCTTCCTTCTTCCGCTTTCCTTTGTTCAGAGAAGCAACAGAAAGCTCACCCATTATGGATGGGTCTGAGTCTCCAACTCACCAAAGCACTGATGAATAGAGGTACCGTAAGGGAATGTTTGGTTTTCCTAGCCCTCCCCCCTTTCACTGCTCATGAGTTTGTGGTCTCAGATGTGCTGCATGTGTCCCCCCTGCCCATATCGTCATTTCCAGAAGGCAACTTCTGAATGGTGTGGAAGCTGTTATTTTTATGTCTTATTTCTGGAAACATGTGGAGCTCTGTTTATATGTATGTGTGTCTATTGGATGTTAGATATTCCCCATGCTACTTCCCAGAAAAGACCTCAGAATATGTCTTAGCCCTTTCCAGACTCTGCGTACATACTGGTTTAGTGACCATGGTTTAATCCATGGAGAGAAGAGCATCCTGCAGGTTGACATTTCAAAGCACCTAAAGCAGACCGAGTTGACCTTGTTCCCTGAAGAGCACCCATGATTTCATCCAGCATTCCTGAGGGACAGGTGCCTTGCTTTCCAAAATGTGGTCCATCATTATTACCTGGGAGCTTGTTGAAAAACTAGACTCCTGGGCCTACTGAATTTGAATCTGCATTTTAATGAGGTCCCTGGGTGAATCAAAGGCATGTTCAAATTTGCGAAGCACTGCTCTAGTGGGCAGAAAACAAGTAACACCTGGTCTGGTTCTGCTTCCAGGGGACCAGAATCTATCTGGCAGACAAAACGTTGAGATTTAAATAGTATTTCAAGGGTCAACTAAAAAAGATAAGGATACCATTCAGAAGCAGATAAAAAGTTGTAAGCTTATTCAACCAAAAAACAGAACCCTATGTTCCAGGAACCATGCTTGAGACCAGAGTTCCAAGAGTTCACGGTCAAATCTGCAGCTTGAAAAATCTAACAGGAGCCAGGCAAGGAGAGGAAGGAAGAGCAGGACTTAGGTGTTAACTACTCTGAGACTTCAGAGCATTCCAAGGGGAGTGGGAGGACTTTGGCTTCATGGAGATACCTCTTGAATCTGGCTTCCACGGCTTGGGGGTGAGGTTGGGGGTGAGGGGGGCGGTAGGGACGTGGAGAGGGGCCATTCCATGGGCAAAAAACACTGGATACAGCAACAGGTAAGGGTGTTGGGTAAACAGCAAAGAGCCTCATTTTGTTGTAGAGAGCGAGCCAGACTTCCCCCTAAAAAGCAGGGTAGGACAAGGTCCTGAACAAATTAGGAGGAGACATGGAAGAGTTTTTATTGAAATTCTCCCAAGTTGGCAGTTAGGAGATTAGGAAAACAGGGGCCTTTGAGAGGAAGATGGTGCTCAAAAAACAAACTTCAACTGAGGAAATCGGAAAGACTTTATTGACTTTATTCAACAACTCATGAATCGGGCAGCATTTCATCTGCTAGATGAAAGGAGCTGTGCAAGATGAGACTTCTATAAGCAGAAGGGAGCAGGAACACGGATTTATACTAGGCAAAAAATCAGTTGGTTATTGCAAGGTCACTTTCCTTTAGGAAATGGCAGGGGTCTATCAGACACATGACCTCACTTGGGCTGATCAGGTGATGCCTGATTGACTAGTTTAAGACTCCATTTCTGGGAAAACTGATACACTAAGTTGAGGTCTCAGCTTGGTGACGTGGGTCTTAGCATCAGTAACTCTATTTTGGGCCTGGTTTCTTGTTTTTAACAATTCCCTCCTTTTGATCAGACTCTCGGCCTCACCAAGAGATGTGATCAAAATGTAACGCTCGGGAGTTACCACAGGTTTTTGCTGAATCTCTGTGTGGTATTCACAGGTCATGCGATCAGGTTCATTCTTTACAGTGGTCATTGTCTTTGTTCCTTTTCTGAAGTTCTGTTCTTAGGGAGATCCTTTGCTGGGTGGTGAGCGGCTGCAAACATGTATTTAAAGCATGCACCAGTGGGACTGCCGTCGTTATTAGAGCAGGAGAACGCCCAATGTCTAGAACGTCCTTTGGAGCCAAGGTCCCCAGGGCCCAAACCAGTTAGAATCAAGTATGTCCAAGAAAGACCCTTTCTTAAGCCAGCTGCCGTGCGCAGTGGTCTTGTGTAGGTGAGTCTCAACTTTCCCAGAAGCGTCTATCCGAGTGCAGCGAGTGGTGTTGGCCATAGCACCACCTCAGCTGAAAGATAATTATGGAACAACTTTGGCAGAGAGCCTAGGAATCTGTGAGGCAGCTCGTGTTCTCGCAGCCGATTCTGCAACATCTGCGAGAGTGAAGGAGAGGTCCCCAAATGCAGCCTCACTTGCGCTTACTCCTGTCCGGGAGGCGTAGGATCTGCCAAGGGAAACGAGCTTTGATTCATGAATGCTTCCTGGTCATTCCCATTTGAGTCTGTGGCTTAGGACTCAGAGGAGGACAGCATGGGGGCCAGTACAACTCGAAGGTCTGTGGTTTTATTTGGTCACCCTTGCCTGGTGTCCCTTTCTTTGGACAGAGCCTGGATGCAAAGTTCCCTGGGCCTGGGGTTCTTAACCAGGGACTGTGACATGATGGAGAGAGGGGCTGGCTTTGGCCCAGGGAAACTGAAGCGTTGACAATCAGGCAGAAGTTTGGGATGGACAGAACTGCAGGAGCACGAGTATCGTGGGACATCCAACAGTCTTTTGGAGGTTAGATTACCTCTCCCTTTGCAGTGGCCTGAGACGGGTGAACAATGGCATTATCTTTGCAGGCCAGGGCCAGGAAAAAGGTGGACAAAAGGATCATGAAGACCTTCATGGAGTAAGAATTAGGGGAAGGATGGTCAGAGAGGGAAGGGGGAATGGAAACTTTCTTATGCCACACCCTGGGAGGAAGCTGTCAACCTTGATGTCCGCAACCTCTCTTCGTCAATTTGATTTTGAGGTCTCCAGCTTTTGCACCAGACCAGATGTCAGGTGGAGCCTTCCTCAGTCACAAAATATGCACCCAGGGTTCAGCACCTTATAAATTGGCACCGGTGTCAGGGGTCGAGAGTTCTTGGTAGGGTTCCTTTCCATGAGTCCCAGTTTTGCAAAATCATCAGAGTAAAACAAAAAAGTGGCTGTAAATGACAAAACACTTTAAGATGCTCAGATCTGATTAGAGTTCATTATAATGAAATTGATAAGGAAATTTGGTTACTTCTGTGATATACAACATTTAAAGATAATAACTGAACTTATGAATAACATTGTACCAGGACATATCAGATTTCTAGAAACTTCATACAGTTTCAAGACCATTTATACTAATAACATGGTTTATACAAATAACTTAAGATTTTATTATGTGACAAAGCTTCCCACGTAATTTAACATAGCAAACAAATTAATTAGTGTAGCATCTTTTATAAGGGGAGAGACAAATCTTTTGAGATTTTCCAGGGACACTCTAGGGAAATCTCAAAGTTACTTTCAGGTCAGGAAGACGCCATTAAGAATCTGGTTATGGGAAGTTGTTAGAGCATCAACAGGTTTGAACACAGGACTAAACAGGATCACAGATCATTATGAAAGAATTATAAGTGACAAAGGCAAATAGTAGTTGTGAACAAAACTTGGGTCTTTTAATATTGAGAAGATGGGAGTTTTCTTACACAGCCAAAGACTTGATAAAAGACCACATGAAGCATGGTAAATTATTTCGCTAAGACACAAAATCTTTGCTGACCAGGCAGAGGACTTAAAGAGTCCTTCACAACTGCTTATCAAAGGCAGACCAAAAGTCCAAGAAAACTTTGTCCTTTTAACAGACAAAACCAAATTCTATTTTTGCACCTGTCTGCTTTTGATACTAAAACTCATTAAAAATCTTAAGTCCATTCCCATCTTAACCAACTTGACCACACCTCAAATTCCCTTCCCAAGATTCCTTTCCCACAAACCACCTACAATGTTTTTAGATCCTTTCAGATTTTGTTCCATTTATCTATTTTTCACTCATTCTGGAACAGCCATTTTTATTTTCCTTGCCTACTTTTTATCCAGTTTCCTTCTATTATTTCTAAGTAATTTTAATTACATATATTGATAAGAATTCTTAATTCCTAGTAAAAACTAAAAAGCAACTGTGGATTGTCCGTTACACGAACAGTCTATGGGTCAGCAAACCTATAAAGACACTTCATGACTTCTAGAAGTATATTCTTCCTCACAGTAAATTTTTCTGTATGGCACAGAACATGTTTACTAACAGACCCGAATATCTTTACATCCTCTGTAAAAAGAAGTGAGAAGTGGATAAATCTGTGTCCAGTAAGTAACAATTTCAGTACTTTATTTGGAAATTATCTGATACCACTGAAAGTCCATCCTTTAACTTATCTCACTATAGCTGTAAGGTTTCAAGTTAACAAAAAGGTTTTGGAAACTATTTTCTAAGTAGACCTAACATAAGCATAATAATTGTTGAAAAGTTCATTTATAAACTTTTATCCTACTTATACCTATTAATTTTCTTGCTAACAATTTTTAGATGACTCAAAGTCACATGAGCATTTAGACAGTTGTCAAATTATCTTTCTGGTGACAAATTCTGTAACAGAAAATAAGCTTATTTGGCTTTTAGTTAACCTAGGAAGGAAATAATTCCTTATATTTCATGCTGTTAACTCTAAAGACATGCCTATTTTAATTAAACTAACCAACTTAAACTAGCTTTAAGATTACCCTAGATCACATGAACTTGAAAAACATTTGGGTTTTTATTATTCTGAGTATGCATAATTTGTGTAGCCCTTGTGTGTCTTTAAGCCAATTAAATTGAGCTCTTGACACATTAATTTTGGCAATACCATCCTGAGGCAGAGAAGACCACAAGTGTAATATGCATGCATGGACATATAAAATCATAGAAACAGATGCAGACAGAGATCTCACAGCTTTTGTTTTAAATTTTTAGCCATGAGGCAGGTGAAATAATGCAAAACCCACCAGTTTATAAAAGAATAGTTGGATCCAAATCGTGCTCCTGGTAAAAGGTTAAGGTGACATGGGTTAAACTTTTCACTGATATTTCTGAAGACAAGATTTTTCATTTGCCTAGTTTCTGAATAACTTGTTCCCCCTGCTCCTTTACCCTTCTGATAAGAATGACCCGGGTTCCTAGAGAAGACCAGATAGAACACTTACATCTCTACAGCACAGAGAAAGAGCACAAGTGCCTTCAAGACAGAATTCTGTTATCCCGAGGCCAGAATTTTACAGTAACTACAAGCCTTTTGAGATGAAGGGGTTATGTTTGGGGGTTGCTAAAAATGCTAGGTGGGCTTTGAATTACTTCCATGTGAATTGCTGCACTTCTGTTCTTGTAAAGACTCGAGTCATAATAAATCAGGGAAACGGACTCTGGTCAGGATTTCCACCTTTGCCAGCTTCTGCCACTCTTCCCAGGCCCTCACCTGCAAGGTCCCAAGCAACAGGGCTTAAAGTAGAGCATACAGCCCTGGAATCTACCAGAATTGGGCAAAGCTTTCCATTAATTTCCATTTTAGTTTCCCATTGGCTGTTTAATGGAATAACCGGTCACAGGTTACCAGGAAACCCCTCAGAGTCCTCTCAACTATGCGAAGGGCTCATACGGGGGCCCACCTTTGAGGCCAGTAATGGGGCAGACTTCTGTTGACAGTATGTAGTCTCTGCAGAGTGGAAAGGCACTTAAGAGGATGAATGGATCATGAGTACTCAGAGGTAAGAGAGGATAAAGGGAAGTAGTAAGAGTCAAATCAATGTTACGGTCTTTGGTTTTAGGTACCTCTTCTGTCACTTTTCATTTTCCTTTTGCAATGACTCTTTCTTTTAACGAAGCTACTTTGGAATCATGAAACCTTCTGGAAGCTTCTGCATGCCCATGAAAATGGGTAACCCATTTGTTGCATTTGGCAAACCTTGCTTTCAGGTTCACTTAAATGATCTCATCCAACTGGAATGTTCCCAATAATGGCTAACAACCTCAATAAGGAGGTCAACTGAGGTAGGCTCAAATGACCAGAAATGGAGTTTATTTGGGAGTGGCAGAAGAACTGCACTTTGGGAAATGCAGGCTGTAGCAAGCTACAGGTGAGCATTGAGGGCTTGGGGCAGGCTGGATTTGCAAAGAGGGAAAAGTCTAGCCAGAGACTAAACAAATTCACTGGCTGGAGAACAGGAAGAGATCCTTGGCATATGTTCGCTGGTTAGGCAGTAAGGCTCAGTCTTCTGTAAGTCAAGCATTTATGGAAAATCAGTCTCTGAGTTCTTAAGTTCTGTTGTTCTGAAGGGACATGCGGGAGATTCTTCACTTCATATCCTCTGGTTTCATTTTAGATTGAAATCCTTTCACATTCCCCACTCTTGCTCAAGAAAGCATCACTGATCAACTATGTTATTTAGGCATTGTTTTCCCTTTTTTTCCTTCCTTGATCCAAGATGTTGTTAGTTGGAGCACAAGTCCCTTGGAGCAGAGGAAAACCATCCTCAGGTGTCGTGTGCCCCAGAGGAGGGAACTGGAAAGTGGATTTCATTGGCCCCGTTTGAAAAGTAGCAATGCCAAAAACCAAACTATGCATATTTGCAGGGGACAGGGAAGTTCAGAAAGGGCCCGAACAGAATTGGCTTTGGGGGATTGGCTGGTGTGCTCTGCTGATTTCTGGGAAGAGCTGTAATTTGTGTTAAGGATAGGTTCATTTTCCTTTATGAGCCTGCAGTGATTGTCTCCATTGTGTCCGACATTAAGTGACTCCATTTTGGTTTGGTTCTGCATTTGCCCTTTTTGATCAAGCCCCCATGAGGGGCAGCAATCACCCAATATATTACTAAGTGTTTTTTGCATGGACCTCACCTTTTGATGATCCACGCTGTTTCTTCGTTGTGTCTTTTTCTATCATACTTGGACCTTTTTTCTTTACCATGTCTTCTTCAGGGTGAGAACAGCTTCGGGAATAGTAGCAAGCGAAAGGCCACACTTGAGCAACTTATATTGGGTCAAGGCAAGGAGACTTTGTCAGGATATACATGTCAGACATTTGCTTGCCCAAGGCTTTGAAATGCTGTCACGTTTGTTATTTACACAAAGGCTGGATGGGTAACTCAGTACTTTAAAAAATCACAAAACAAAATGGCAAATAAGATAGAAAGACCCAACTGTAGTACAGATTTAAACCATAAGCCCAGTCTTGTTGGGAACCAGCTGAATAAATCAAAATTCCAAGATGAGTCAGACTGGACTTGTAACCAACGGGCTTGTTCTCAGACTTGATGTAACTGAACCTCGACTTCCCCAGAAGTGTTAAGCCAAGTCTGCATGTTGATTGACTATGGCGCAGACATCCTGTGCAGCCAAGAGAGAATCGAGGGCTGGCCTACTGGCAAGGACAATTTTAGACAGAGAATCTAGGGAGTTTTGCTGGATAGCTATGGCCTTAGCACTAGAGTCGGCAGTTGTTTGATGGGTTAAAGCAGAGTTTGGGGCCCTAGCCTCATTTGCACCCCCTCCTAACCAGGGAAGTAGAGATGGGCCAAAGGAAGCAACTCCTGACTTAGGAATGCTTCCTGGTCTCCTCTAACATGATAATGTAAATTCAGGGGAGCTGACCGATAAGGTGTCTCAGTTTGGCTGTGGACAGCTGGGGTATAGAGAAGAACCAGAGCGGCTGCCTGCTTATATGCCAGTCCGGGCACTTGCAGGCCCCAGGAGAATGATGACCACCCTGGACAAAGATAAATCCTGTCGGGGTACAGACCACTCCCGCAAAAGCAGCATTGTTCATGGATTCATTGTCACATTTGCTCGTTCAAGCCAGGGGTCAGTTAGGTTTTTGGCATATTCAGGAAATCCGTCTCCCAGGCTGAAATAAAGAGCTGTTCTAAATGCCTTGCAAAAGCACATGCTTCTGATGAGAGGTCGTTGTGCCGGGGCCAGGTGGGACTCAGACACTCGTAAGAGCCTGGTGACGCCTGTACTGAGGTGTGGAGGTCCGGGTACCTCACTGGTCAGGCAGAGGCTGCACTGGGGAAGGGCCCTGGGAAAGCCTGGCTGCGAGAGTTTAACTGTATCAGCTGACGTCGAAGGGAATGCAGGTGTGGTTCACGAAGGAAAAGTGGCCACAGGAAAGCCCAGGGGGTCCCCCAAATCATGGACAGATCAGAGTGTGCGAAGGCAGGTCCAGCAGCCTGAGAGGCTGTCTCCCTCGGCAGAGGAAGGTACGGGCTTTCCAAGTCAAGGAGCAACAGAAAAGAGCAAACGGGAGGAAAAAAACACTTAGGTGGAGGAGTCGGACTCATTTTTGCCCATCACAATTTTCACAGTAAAGGTGGACGGTGACAGAGGCCTGGTCCGACCTTGGGCTAGCCGTCTGCTGCTGTGGCTGGAGCTCTTGCCTTTGTTCCTTTCAGGTCCCGTGACTCCTGGAAGTCGGGACAGATGAATCCAGGGGCAGATGCCTCCAGGCTTAGCTATGCAGGAACTGGCCAGCAGTACCAGAAAGGTCCTTTTACCTCAGGGAAGAGGGACTCTCTCCCAGTACGAGTATTCTCCGGGATGTGGCTCCTGAAGGGAGTCACAGGTCAGGTCATATTCTTGTTCAGCATAAGCTTCTTGAATTTGTGAGAGAGGTTTCTGGAAATGGTGGCAATATTTTAATAGGTCTTGTTGGGCGATCTGAGGGTCAGAGTACTGGGAAAGAGGCAAATGCATGGGTCTGCCAGTTACTATTTTTTCAAAAGGTAAGGACTTTA